ACTGGACCTGGTTCTCGTTGATGAGCCTCGTACACCAGAAACTTGGAAACACGCAGCAACACACTTTACGCAGGGGATTTACATGTGGCAATGTGCATAAACTCAGATGCAAATCGCGAAACACAGCACAGAACATATTTGGAAACTGTCCTTCAGAAGTCACACTGGGTGCTGTCACGTGCCATCTCAAATTTTGTCTTTATATTTGCTCCCCAGACGAAATAATTCTTTAGGTTTGACAAACCTTATTCCCCTTAATTAAAATGACCGTGAAGAGGAAAAGAAAAACTGTACAAAGAGAGGGATAACACTGATATTAAGTGACTCTGCTGCCTGATTAGTTCTGGAATAAATCCAAGGTAATTAGTGGGTAATAGATATATCCTTCACATAAGGTTCCACTGCAGGGTGTAATGTTTTGGAGATTGATCTTGCACGAACTTCACAGGAGCGGGGACCGACCGCTAATTATTCACACTTGTAGTATGCTTACGAGCACTACATCAAAAGGCAGCATAACAGAGTGGTCAGGTGCAACATAATATTTGGTAGACCGTTTCAACTAACCCGTCAGGGTACCACCTACGAGCAACGCAACGTATCATGATGTTGTGCAAGGTGGCGTCGATGCTTGATCGCGTGTCCACAGATTAGCAAGCCCGTTATAATTACCGAAGTCTCCATCGATGATAGATCTCGTAGAAAGCTAAGATATTGATTTCAGGGAATTATTTGCGCTGCAGCGTGTTCAAAAATGTTTTGCACTTTCTCTTCCAACAGTGTGGACTCTTCTCTCATTATGATATACTACCACAGCTTTTTTACCAGATTTCAACGAGCTAGATACATCCGATTTGCTCCGGAGGCCTGAACGATGACCTCTGCTACCTCCACGCAGGATGTTTTTCTACCTCAAGTGGTCTTTTCTGTTAGCGAGTACAGTAATTATAATCAATGAAGGCCCCCCATTGCACAGCCACTTTCCCCGATGGCTTAAAAATGTAGTCCAATAATATGAACGTGGTGGAGCCATCGCCAATAACTGCTTCACCAGGTTGAACTGAATGGTCTGGATAGTAGTTTGGCAAGCACTGACACGACTTCAGCAGTTAATCTGGTCTGTCCTGATCGGTCTCTCAGGATGGGAAATAGCCGGTTTGTGGTATGCTTTCTGCGAGATAACGATTAAGGCTATTTAAAGAAATCTTCACCAGGGAAACTTACTCTAGTTATCTTGATGTAACTATGACTATGGACAACAAATTATGTCCGAAGCGTAATCCAGTAAACAGTATTGTTACACTGTGCGATAAATCTAATAAGTCAATAAAAAAATAGAATTGCTCTAGTTATCATCACCATCTCTTGGATGTAGAAATGAAGTGCTTTATTTATTACTGCTTGCCTCCAACTTAGGTGGTGGGAAAGCTCCGAACCTTGTTTACGCTTTTGGTTTCTAGAAAAAACCCAACTAAGTGGGTTTTCAGACCACGCCTAGTTACACGATTGGGTTTGAATTACCTTGTGGTATATGTTGCTATCGCCACCGACTGCCTTCAGTCTCTGCACCAAAATTGTGGCCTTCTTGTGGCAGTGAGCCGATTGACCAAGCCTATTGAAACTGGTAGCCTTCTAAGCCCTGCTAATCTAAAATGTCCTTTGATCATACTATTGTCAAGCCTTACAACATCACCACCAAAAGCTGTGAACCATGGGCCTACGTATGACATTCGCATTTAAATTACGTAGCTTCCAATTTACTGACTAACTGTGCGATCAATTCCACTGCGTGCATGAAACCTACATTAGAAACTAATAAATTAGATAACAGTTGACTGAAAATGGATTCCCTCCGCATTAGCAAACACAAGCACTGCTTGGCCGACGGACTGTGCATCTGTGCAGCAAGTGCGTATCACAACCGAACTTCAGCACTTACCCTTACACGCAAAGCTCTGCAAACACCAAAAGCGCAAAGTACAACATCAGCATTCAGAAACATGACTTACCCAGTGGGTTTAAGAGGGTGAGGAAGGGCTGTCAGGAGGACCGTCGTTTCGTCCCTTCGCGACACTCTTCAGTCGAAAGAACTTCCACTCCATCAAACATAAAATCACGAACCTTAAATCGGTCGCAGCAGAGGGAAGTAATTTATAACTACATTTGCCATTAGGGGACCACTATTCAACATTTATCGCCTTGGTTGCGATGTAAGCTAAATCAAACCGAATCGCTCCCAGCAATTTGTGGAGGATATTTATTTGCTTCCAGGAACGGAAAAAGTCCTCGGACACTCAATGATATTCACTGCGGCCCCAAAAGATTGATTGCGAACAAGTTTCGCTTTAGACGGAGGGAGTCGGTTTCGTTCAAATCAAATTCTGATGCTCTATGGGTATCTGCTACGACTGCATCAAAAATTGCTTGGGCACTGCGGTTCCAGAAAGACCCCTCCAGAAGTTATGTAGTACCCTGAAACTTCTGGTTTAAAAATTTGCGCATTTAGGCTATAAAGTGATACTTAAGGATAGGGTTTTCCTCATTCAATATCTACACTTTACCATCTATTGTTCATTTTTCATCCAGAAATGCAGCTACACAGCCTCTACACACACCTGCAACGTTTTTTACCGCTCCTTCCACCCGGCTTCAGATGGTGGAGTCCTCAATTCCTACTAGTTAGCCTGGAACCAGTGAGATAGCCGTAGTCACCTTGTTAGCCGGGCCAGTGTTGATTGTCTTCACTTTTTGAGAATCTGTGAAGTTACAGAAGCTGGAATGCAAAGCATGTGTCTCATTAGTGGCCTGACTGAACAGTATTCAGTAAACTGTTAACATGTCAACAATCCGGTACTTCTCAAAGAATGAAACTAGGCTACCACAAAATTCAACATATCATAAACAAAAACTGCCGGTCCCATCCAATCGTTTGACCCCATCCCCGCATAAACATTTATCGATCCTCGAAGCACTCAAATTTCTGGATGGTCATGATGACAGCGGAAACCTAGCCAAAAAATCAAATCTGAAGGATCAGCCCACCTGTTGACTCTGAAGGCGACATATTCGTAACAGTTCTGTGCGGCTGGTTTCTTCAGTACTTCGTGTAATACGGTGCGATTAACAGCGAATATACTTCCTTGACAATGCCACATACTTCAACGTGAGCAATATGTAAAACCCATGACCATTGGTCAGGAGTTCTCAAAGTTCCGAAGACCCAGTAACTGCTATTACACCTCACAGCGAAAGAAAATCTTGGAAGTCTTTCTGATACGTGGTGGTATTGCTGCTGATACCACTCTCTTTAATCGATTCATTCCTATTCTTTGTACTATACATTATTGAAACTAATCTTGTCGAAAGGAGTGTCAAAAATTGTTTTGCTGCGTCCTGTTTTCTTGGTCACGGTATTTCGATGCCTGAATATGAGTATGAATGGTGACTTTAGATGGGCTCATACATATTTCTACTCATAGTGAGCGCAGGTGGTGTGGCAGATAACCGTTGGATTTGCGTGTGGACTTTCTGTAACACATAATTACAGGCAGGGTGTTTAATGCATATGGTGAAACGAAGCACGAGTTCTGGATAACAATGGAATTTTATCAGAATCATCGTTTTGAAGAAGAAGCAAACATATTTCATTGACTTTGAAAATAAGTGCTTTACTTACCATAACTAGTCCGTTAGATTTTCCTAAATATCCTAAAAGATTCGCAAGCAATCCTTCTGACCAGGATAAAAGCTACGCCGTCCCGCTAATAATCTGATGATGTGTTCTCGAATGAAAAATCACAGTCGAACTTTGTTTCGGAGACGGAAGAACTTTAGTGGGCTCATGTACTACACGTGGCTGCGCTGAAATTTCAACAGATAGGCAGTAAGTGTTGCTTCACGCAACTCCACTTTTAGAATCAGCACTTTGTTAGCGACCTTTATTGAGTCGCGATTAGACAACCATCATTCCTTGGCAAATCTGAAAGGCATAGCAGTTAATTAGCGCGGACCCGTGCAAATTATTCCTGACATGGTAAATCTTTCACCAAATATTGAAAGTAATGTCAAGGGGGCTCGGCCAAAGTTCTGTAACTATTCTTTTTGACCGCAGAAAATAATATCACACTTCTAGTGAGAACAGATATACTTTATTCCAACAGGCGAAACAAGGTTATATTTAGCATGCTCACATACGTTCGCGATGTAATATCACCACGTGATCTGAAGCATGTTTAGTGGTGGTATGGATAGTAGTTTGCGGTGATCACCTGCGGGTAATGTTTTCCAAGAGTATGTGAAAAATTTCTGGCCATGTATAATACAACTTGGACGACAGACAGCTTTTTAGGCGATGAGGCTTGTCATAGAATCCATCCGTTGGGTAGTAAAGCCACAAAGTCTGTGAATTTGGGATGATGGAGAGTCTGTGAATTCCCTATTTAGCGAATCTCACCTTTCCGGATTCATGCTGCTGTCACACACAGCAGCATGAAACTTAAGTCCAGGACTAACACATATTGACGTGGATATTCCCACTTTCGATGCGTGAACTAACTCATGACATGACCCTGCATCATACTATTTAACGTAAAATATAATTTCTGTCAGAACCAGTCATTTGAATGCACAATACCTTACGAGGCCTCCCATCACTGCAGTGCTCATAGGAATGTCTCAGCAGATATATTTTTAACAATCTGAGAGTAGCCTTTTTTCTGGGAGTCTCTGACACATCGAGTGATATTATTCCAATTTCTAATCAGCGTTTAATCAATATATAACCTCCACTGAATCCGTAAGGTATTCCCTTTGCACAAAACAAGCCTCAAAGGTATGATTTTATATTATTGAATTGAATTTATTTTTGTGTACCAAACAGTAGCTCTCAGCCGGATCATTTATTTCTGAACCTTTCATCGTCAAACTGGTCATCATCATCATCAGAACGAACTAAAAGAAGAAACGTGTTTAGCCGCACCAAGGCCACAGCAACAGTAAGCATACTGTATAGCGGTTAAACGAACTGACTGCGTTATGTCCAATGTAATTGTTTTCCCTTGCAGTGATCTTTCATAATAAAAATTTTGAGATTTACCACCACTGTTGATTACAGAAACCGATTTATTTCTTCTCATACGTATAAGTCTATTGTGGTGTTGTTGCACCAACCTATACCTATACCTTATATATCTATATAAGCAGATCCGCCAACACAGCATCTTCTGGACAAGTTCAGTGATCTTGGTCACCAAGTATTTCACCAGTACTTCATGAAAAGATCGGAAATACGACCCAAGAAAAGCAGTCATGTAAAAGTAGTTGAGAATAAAGAGTCACTTTCAGAAAATATAGTAAAACAAAGAAAAAATGTAATCTATTTAAAGTCTTCAGGCTTAAAAGTTAAGCACAAGAAAACATATGACAAGCCAGTTTACTCTTGAAGCCTCTTGTCGACAATCGAATGAACCCTCTCTTTTCATATTTTCAAATTTAAGGAAACCTTGTCTGAGAATTTTCAGGTAGCACAATTCACACTACTGCGTAGCAAATATCCAAGCACCTGACCTGCACCATAGATAGTATGGGTTAACAAAAGCCATAAGAGCCTTATTGTATCGATTGAAATTCTATCAGGTGAAGAGTACTCTTGATTGATACTGCTTTCAAGTTTACCCCGTTTTTAATATCCATGATGAAAGCATAGATGAGGATTGGAATTCGGGTAAAACTTTGTCTTCAGGAGATTAGAAGCATATTGTAGACTGCAGATCAAATTCTCCATTGGCTACACTTTTAACTCTCTCTGCTGAAAGAAACTAAACCTACTAGGAAGCGTCTGCCAATCAAAAAAACCTTTCCACATTTTCAGTAGTTAACTGTTATTTTTTGTAACGTATTCTTGATTTGGTGAATAGTACTTAATTCTATAACTTTCCGTAATCGGTAGCACAATCACGATTGTCTGGTTATATTTTCTAGACCTGCTTCTCAGTTTAAAACTTTCACGAGACTTATTGATCAACAGTGTCAAGTTCGCTTTATCCAGAGTCTACCTGGCAGTAAAGACTTTTTCAACATTGTGAAATTACTTTGTGCTACAAGACTTGTTTTTCGAGTGACTTTAAAATATCGTATGGCTATAAAACCATGAGCTTGGGAAATGCTGTTAGACTAAGTCTTCCAAAGTTACTTAACCAAGATTCTCTGATCTCTTCATGTAGTGAAAATGTCAACAACAAAGACCAGTAAAACGGGATTATGTCTGGTTGTCGATTAAATCACCTTTTACTTTAGCTAAAAATCTTAAGTCAATTTTGAGGACCACTGGTTTTGTATTGTCGTTGGATGCCCTTTTTTCGATAAAATTGTTACAACTTTTGGAATTCAGAAACATTTGGAAATCCTAATGTCGGTCTTGCATTCAGGTTGTGGATGGACAGTTGAATATCTGAGGTATGATTACAGGAAACTTTGGGTTTTTCACACAGCGTTGGGCACACCAATTGCGTTGTTCACCTCTTTAAGAGATGGCTGACTTCTATTTTTCAGCGATATCATAACTAACTCACATCTTGAGTCGACCTGATATTAAGTTACGCTGCCAAATTCTGCTTCATTTGCCATATGATTGCCCAGAATCACAAGTTAGTTTTTGTGTACATTTAAGATACACTCGTTTTCACTACGCGACGTTAATCAGAATGGATCTATCACACCTATATTAGTACATACTAATAAATTGACTGAGGTGGTGAATGCTAGAGGCATGACATACCTGGATGAGCGTCTTCCATTATTTTTCAGGGTTTTCATAAAGCTGATGGCATCTCCTGAGTAATTATTTATATATGGTAACCAGATATAGTTTTATTCAAAATAACTACGTGAACCCTTTAAGCGTTTTTGATCTAAAGTAAAAGAAGTGAATTATACACATTTCATTGTTGTAAATAAATAACTTTACAATCCTACTTGTGTAACAATCGCACTGTTAGGTGCAGTAACTTAATTTTTCAATTTTTGTCCCCAAGAAGTATGGGGGTATGATATCAAGAACTAACTACAAACAAAATTTGAAGAAGAAACTCGAACTATATTTGGTTTCATGCTGCTGAAAATTGCTGACTACAATTTTGAAAATTAAACTGAACAGTATATCAAAAAATATAATGCTTTTTAATTTGCGTTTCAAAGTTTATATTCCTTTAGTGATGGCTGACATATACAAGGCTTTTGCCATTAAATTTCAAAGTGAATTGGGATTAACCCGATTCATTCTGCCTTGCTGTTGCATAAGAGAGAAATCAGGGACTTTTTCGAGGAATATCTACTATCTACTTCAATAGGAGGATCAAGTAGTGACTCATATTTAGAGAAAATTCTGGAAACAGAAATAAGTAGAAATATTTATTTGTTGTTGTTTTATCATGAATATTTCTCATGAAGATGCACGCTGCGGTTGCATGAAGGCACTAGGCAATGAAGCTTTGTCACCTGAAATATAACACTGTTCACCCAGTGAATTCATCGAATGATAGTTAAATATACATAACTTGTCAGTGGATTTTAAATTTAGATGCCATGTCACGCAACACAAAAAAAGAGTCCAGAGCACCATATATTCTCGTTTGGCGGAGCTGTCACAAATTATGTAGGTTGATAAGTTCTAACTTGGTATTCTGTGACCAATATATCTAAATATAGTGATATAACCGCCCAGAAATGTAACGTAATTGAAATTCAGTTATTTTACAGTTGTATCATACAATAGTAAGAGCTAAATAAGAATCAAATATTTAGATTCCATGAGTGCATGATGCACAGTGGAATCCTAATACTGAGATCTAACACATTCTGTTTTTGTCCTGGTTTATCAGGCTTATGCTGAATTTGTTCTCTAAAGTAATCGGTTTAAGTTAGATTAAGGGCTCTGCATTTAGATTCGGCGTTCGATAGTGAGTTAATGGTTTCCTGTCATTCTGTCTTTATTTAAGAAAGAAGTCAGTTTAACATGCCAAATATACTGCTGCTGAAGCATACTCATAAAGCACTCACATGTCAACAATCAAGTAAGGATTCTTGACGGAGTGACTTTCGCTCAACAGTTCATACACATTGCACAAGAGGTGGCTGTCCTTCCTCACTGATCTAGTGGATGATGCTTTGGTTTTTGAACCGACGGACATTATGTTCGAGTCTTAGTGGGAATGCCATCACTCACTGGAGTGCAGGTATATCAAGTTGACGTGTCCAATACCGGAAGAAATGCGTATCCTCAATTCCCCTGCTAACCACTACCAAGTTAATTGCATTATTACGAGTCTTCACGCAATATTGAAGCACTTGTATAGGATCCCATCTACAAACAAAGGTTGATCAATACGATACGATATATCAGAGGAAAATTGCAAGAATCAATAAATAGTTACCTTTAGAGATAACTGAAGCCTGATAGGGGGTTTTCTGCTCAATAAACTGTGGCTTTAAATATGCACACTACTTTGACGAATGTATAAGTAATTGGTGTGTAACCATCACCGATTGATTATCTCAGTACTTAGAATGTGTGATGATTTTTCACTGTTCAGAAAGACATCTAACCCATGTATAGATCAAACAGCCATTGTTCTTTCCGCCTCCTTCTGAACTGCTAATTGTAGTGAATACTAAATGTGAATAGCTAATTCACAGTTCAATCCTGAAAACAGCACGAAATGCAATATATGACTTCTCAGATTTGGTTTGCTTCACAAATTATATAAGTGCAAACTAAACAAGTAGCTTTTTGTACATAATTTTGACAGTCTGTTTAGCAGTATTTTTATTCTAGCTATCATTAATCATTGCATCAAGTGCCTTACATTCTTTAAGACTGTTATTTTTCAAAAATCTGACTTTTATAAAATTAGAACGGTGAACAATACATACTTTATCCTGGAGAAGCTGAAACAATTATACAGTCAATGAAGTTTGCAAAATATGAAGATTATGGTTCAGAAAGATGGTTCAATTACCATGGCTACTTGAACAAACTGAATATGCAGGTAAGAAAATATATTGTTCACCCAATCGATTTTCAGGCGATAGCTTCAGCTCATGCTCAATCGGATGAATTTATAAAAGAATTTCTTGTTACTTATCAAAAATACCAATTCTAGTTCACGATTTAATTATGGTGGAACTATGGAAGCGAAAGGTTATCAGAATTTTATTCAGTAATAAGGAAGAACCTACTTCAGCATTCCCCTTGTATACCATAATTTACCATGAATTAGTTGTGGCAAACTTACTCGAAACTGTGACCTATCATAGTGACGCAGTGGAAACTTTCGGAGAATCGGTTACTGACTTGGTTGATTGGTGTTATCGATCTTTATGTCATCTCGTTGTCCACTCTGTCTCAGAAAAGGAGAAGTCAGTATATTTCGAGTTGAAAAACAAGGTAATCATTTACTTGTCCATTGCACTAATTTGAAGAATTCACAGTTAAATACCTTGCTGCATATATAATCTCACTGTTATCCAAAGTCTCATCATACGCAACCAACAGCGTAACACGACTGCGGCTTCGGAAATTGTAGTCTATGGACTTGTTTCATGTCTGAATTAAAGCTGATTTTGTATCATCGCGTCTCATAAAATAATAAAAACAAAAGCATTTAATTTTGTTCACCATCATCCAATAACCTTTTGTGACATCTACATTCTCTGCTTCTTATAAAGATTCTTAGACATATCCAGGGATTCTTTCACTACGTTCGTAGAGCATTTATAATTTTTAAGTAGCTGTTCGACATTTTCAGGTAATGATTCGTAGTTTCGCAGTACAGTAACGGGTACAGACCAACACAGTATTAAACTATCAATGTTAGTTGGTTGGAAACAATCGGCAGGAAGCTCTGCACCTAGGATTCTTGCTTCTTGGCACTCGTCAGTTAGGCGTATCTGCAACTTCAGGGGATCTGGTTTTTCCTGTGAGATCCTGATCCTCGTCACCCAGCGTCCGGTCCGCGATTGAGCTCCTGTAGGACTGGTTCACATACATTTGGAGAGCAACGACTCTCATGTTGTCTAGTCCTAAGTGCAGACGGAATTCCATTTTTAATTTTGCAATGTGGCCACCAAGCTAAGAAGCTTAGCATCACTGTGCACCTTGATGGATGTTGTCTCTAACCAGTGAGCAATGAATGTATGTAAAGCAGGTCATTTGCAGGCGGAACAGCTCGGTGGTAACGTTGCTGACTGTAACACTGTATGACGTGTGTTAAAATCTCACAGGAGAAATCAATTCCCTTGAGGTTGCAAACACGCCTTATTGACAAGTACGAACAAGCACGGAACCTAGATCTAAAACTTTCTGCTGACTGCCTGCAATTAAATAACAGCTAAGGTTAATTTGTATCCACGAAGTGACATGGATTTCACCAGATGGACACACTAAAAATCAAATCGACTTCATCTCAATCTCAAGAAAGTTGAGACGCAGTCTACTGAACACAAGGTCAAGAAGAGGAGCAGATGTAGGCTCACACCACTCACTATCTAGTTCAAGGAACCTTCCAAATCAAGTTGAAAGACTTCAAGGAAGCTGGTGATAGACCTCAATTCAAGTACAACACTCGGAAACTGAAGGATGAAACTACAAAGGAGATCTTCACGTCAGCCAGCCATCAAGACAAAATGGGAGATATTGAGCAACATCCCTGAAGAAACCTGTGTGGAATAACACTGGAAGTCTTTGAAAGCTATGTGGAAAGAAACCTGCACAACAGTATTAGGAAGGAAGAAGAAAGAAGATAAGGAGTGGAATGAATCTCGATGGACACATGGAAGCTGATGGAGCAGGGAGAGGAGGATGGTGAAGCAGAAGATAAACCAGTGCTAGGATGCACAACAACGAGGGGAACTGAATACAATGTATAAAACACTACACTGGATAAAGAAGTGAAGAAGAGCGCATGCAAAGATAAAAGACACTTCCACGACACACTGGCAAGTGAAGCAGAACAGGCTGCAGGTAGGAGAGACAGAGACCTGACAACATTGTATCAATAATTAGGTTACTTGCTGTCTGGGGAGAGATCAACGCAGACAAAACCAATAAAAGATGATGACGGAAATTTAATTACGAAAGAAGAAAAAAAAGAGAACAATGGGCCGACCACTTCAAAAATCTCTTGAATCGACCGTCACCTGCACTTCATCCAGAAATACCACCTACAGCCCAGCCACAGAACTACAAGTGAACATAAATCCTCCAACAAAAATGGAAGTCCTGAACGCCATAAAGCTACTGAAATGTGGGAAAGCAGCAGGACCAGATGGAATCCCGCCAGAAGCACTGAAAACAGATGCAGAGACAACGGCGGACATGCTCACACCACTACTGCAGAAGATGTGGAAGGAAGAGAAGGTACTTGGCTAGTGATTGGAAGAAGGGTTACCTTGTAAAACTGCCGAAGAAGGAAGACCTCAGTGTTTGCAAGAACTGGCGAGGAATCACTCTCCTATCCACCCCAAGCAAAATATTAAGCCGCATCATCCTGGAGAGGCTAAAGGATGCACTGGATTCAAAACTACGACCGTAACAGGCAGGCTACAAGAAATACAAATCATGTGCCGACCAGATTGGGACGCTTCGCATCATCGTAGAACAGAGTATAGAATGGCAGTCAACTCTCTATCCCAACTTTATCGACTTTGAGAAGGCCTTTGACAGTGTCGACCGATAGGTAATTTGGAAACTGCTTCAATACTACGGAGTACCGCAAACCTTTATCCGCCTCATTCAACAACTATATGAAGATGCTACATGCCAAGTAATTCACAATGGGAAGCTCAGTGACGCTTTTGAAGTAAAGACAGGAGTGAAACAAGGTTGCCTACTATCATCCATGATATTCCTGATTGTGTTGTGGTCGACTGGATCATGCAACAAACAGTGGAGAGCTATGAGAAGAGGGGGATACGCTGGCTGGACTGCGGAAAAGAACCTAGAAGATCTGGATTTCGCCGATGACTTGTGCCTGATGTCATACAAACCTGAAGATCTACAGGCAAAAACTAACAAGTTGACAGAAGAGGCAGCTAAGACGGGACTTCAGGTGAATATAGAGAAGACAAAAGTGATGAAGATACCGCACCACCACCATCAACAACAACAACAAACTCCAATCACCATCAACGGGAGAAACTTAAAGGAAGTAACCTCCTTCACCTATCTAGGCAGCACTGTTTCAACTACAGGCGGCACAGACGAGGATGTCAAAACCAGTCAGAATCGGAAAAGCAAGACAGGCGTTCATTAACCTGAAACCAGTGTGGAGGTCTTCTGCACTCAGCATGTGGAACAACATCCGGATTTTCAACACCAACGTCAAGTCAGTGCTTCTGTATGGTTCAGAGACTTGGCGCGTTACGAAAGGGATTTCCAACAAACTACAGACATTCATCAACAACTGCTTACGCTCGCTACTGAAGATCAGATGGCCAGAAAAAATAAGCAACAAGGAGCTCTGGGAACGAACCAACCTATCACCCAACAAGTGTGCAGTAGAAGGAAGTGGAGATGGATTAGGCAAACACTGAGTAGGCCGACTGGGGACATCACGCGTCAGGCCAGTTGCTCTAGTGGAACCCGATGGGAAGCGACGAGTTGGGTGTCCCAGCTGAAAGTGACATGGAGGAGATGGTGCGAGGAGGAAATGAGAGCTTGTGGGCTGTCGTGGAGCCAGGTTCAAAAGATATCAGAGAAGAGTTCACTGGAGACGTGCTACTGAAGCCCTATGTTCCATTAGGAACCCAAGGGACTAATAATAATAATATATAATAAGGTAATTTGTATTAACCGAATGTGAACCAACTGGAACTGGAGAGGTAATAGATATGTAGGTCAAACTGTTTTGAGTTAGTGGACTGTAGCCTAGACGAGAATTTTAATCAACATCGAAGCAGTTAAAACTAGACAATGTGAATTTTATTTGGAACCCCATTTGAAATTCATTGTTTTTGAAAACTTTTTCAATCGAAAACTGTTTAATTCATAATCATATGTGCTAGTTTTAAGTTAGAAAATTTGATGAATTACCTTCTGTCAGAAATTCATTATCTGCCCGGAACTTTGTAATTTTTCGAGAAGCTATTTTTATTCGCTTGATGTATGTATATTTTGAAAGACGAAGATATTTTGTATTGACCGACATACTCCACTTTTTGAAATCGTGGTGTACTAATAGATGTAAAGGAGGTAAAACTGGAAAACTGGTATTCTGTTCTGGAATATTTTTAACATTGGAGTAAAACTTGGGCATTGTGGTAGATGGTAATTCCATACTAAACTGCTTACTGTATGTAATTCTCTCCATTTCACATGTATCTGAAACAGCAGCAGAATCATTCTTATTACGTGTCTCTGGTGCTGATTTTATAAACAAAGACTGGGTTATCAACCTCTCCCTCTATCCAACTAAGTTATTTTTTAATACTGTCACTCAGTTCCAACCTATTGTATGGTTGTAAGCAGTTGCATGCTTGGCTGTAGCCATGTATGAAATTACAAAGAAAGAAACAGAAAAATGAAGAAAGTTAAATTAGATTACTACAAAACTTTTGCGAGTTAGTTAGGTTATTGTATCAGAACTGTATAGTTTTCAAGTTAGTCTGTGGCCGCAGAGGAACGACAGAGAGGATGAAGTGTTTCAATTGAGGTGAATTATGTAGTCGGAAGAGGCCAACTTTCTACTGCGTGTTGCTCTCGATTCCGTATCTTGTAGGTTATCGAAGAAGCAAACTTAATGTATACACCACCAACAGCATGTCAGATGAAACTTAATATAGCTCGAAGCCTTCTCGACTTCGTTTTTTGTCAGCCTTACTGGAGGGCTTTTCTTCATACTTCGTTAAAGACTTGTGATACTGCATCGCAAGTAGGAACAACTGAATTTACTTATATACGCTGACGTTGGCAATATCAGGGATGTTAGATCTAGAAATTAGCGGTAAGATACATCTGTTGCTGTAAGTCTTTCTCAAAGTGGTTTGAGGAAACATCCTGGTTACCGAATGTTGAAGTCTGTTTAGAGTAATTTTGACTAGATTATCTCTCTTAAACTAAAGGTTCATGAATACTTGCCCTTTGTAACAAGTGAAGATGACTGGTTTTTGCATTCTTCTCATCATATACTATTTTGATAGAATTTTTCAGGTGCCTATTTTGTTTGATTGTTTCTAACAGAATCCATGACTTATTCAGTCGTAGCATTACATCACATTCTTCTTGTCATTTTAAATAGACAGTAAGTTAATTCCCTTTTTTACCGTAATACCAAAATAATACTGAAGTGTATATACTGTCCATTTTGAAATTATTTGTAGTTGGAACCTTTGATGACTTCACTTCCTTCACTCAACCGAAATCGGAGAAAATCTAAAAATAAATATCGCTCGAATTTCCCAGTTTATATTAGAATTTCATATACATGAGTGACTTGTCAAAACTCATTAGTAACCCACCCACCGTCATATCTATATTTCACAGAACGAAGATATTGTCTATACATCTGCATCAAGTATTTATTGGTTGTCTTTACGGCTTCAGAATGCTGTTTTCAAATTTTTAATTGAAAACGGTAAGTAGTGATACAGTTGGCGAATCTATCGCCATACAGTTTATCTGAGAACATGATTTTTGAAAAGAAATTAAGCGTTTAATGAAAATCATAAAAAGTATCTTCGAAGTCACATACGGGCGTATCAACAGTCAGTTTGTTTTTTGTAATGATCTCTGATTTAAAATTAGGTATTTCCATCAACGGAACATTAATAATAACTGAAAAACGGAAAAAGTACCTTTATCCTGTAAGTTTTGTATTTGGTTACATAAATCAGTTCAAATGCATCTTTGACAGTCTGTTTGGACGAAAATCTCCCTACTTTTTCTAGTTAGAATAGAAGCCGATTCATAACTATGTGCTATGACAAGATGGATATATCTGAAATTGGCCGCAATGATTTGCCATCGTTACCGGGTTTTGGTAGTTGGTATAGTCTGAAAATATTAGTTCCTCTAGGTTTCAATCATTCACTTGGTTTGGAAAGCATGACTTTCCTTCCTTTCAAAGGCTTCAGGAGATTTTTTATTCGCTGTTCTGCCATCAGAGTTATATCCTTAGCAATCCATATCTTCTGAGACTGAGATTCATTACTTAGAATTAGTCATATCGTCCATTAAGTCATTTTTCTTAACAAAACCACACGGCTGTCCGTACCCGATTGATTTGTATTATGGTTTGATTAGATCTCAACAACTTGAGTACCTATCACTGTTTCTGATGAGGATTGACTTTATTTTCAACTATAAATTCTGGTGTCTGTAGCAACAGTTTAATACAATTGTTTCGAAAGGTCTATATTTGATACTCTTGTTAAGACTAGGCTCTCTTTCTACAACACGTTGGTCAGACTGAAACCTCTTTCAACTAGATTCATCAACAGAATATTAATTTACATATTCTTAATAAATTTTTATTTTGTTAACATATAGGTTAGCGAAGCTAGTAATTTGGAGGACTTGGATCGTCAAAATAAAATCATAGAATACGAAAAAGGTTTCAAGGCTATCACCATTATCAGACATTTGTTTGAAAACTGTCTAAATTCAAACAGTTCATTGCCTCTAGGTGTTGGACGTCGTTTACTGTATACACATGATATTCCTATTGTACTTTGTCAGTTACTTGAGCAAATGCCATGGATAGTAATTGGTTTCGATAGAAGTAGTAAACAGTGCCGTCAACATATTTGGCAAGAAAACGGATCATGGATTCCGGATGACAAAAGTTCATGTATTGTTCACAAATCAGAGGCACAGGTAAATAAAATCATTTCTTTATATTCAGTTAACTTGAAAACTTGAAATAAGTTATTGACTAATTTTTACAATACTGGATTCTCTTTCCGTCGAATTTAATACTAAAGAAAGTACATTTGGAAAGAAAGTTAGTTAACTTCCAATTACTGAAAAAATTAACTGAGTAAAGTCATTGTATAGGATGTATTTTTATTTGTGTAATCCCGGCGTAGTACATTAGAACAAATAAAGTCAGATAAAATTATGCTTTTATTTATCTACATGTTTACAAATCAAAATGCAGGGGGTCTGAAATCTTGCTGATGATTACCTTGGTTTTAACAAAAAATAGAAACTTTAGAATGTTTATGACGACTTGAAGGCCTTGACCGACAGGTTCATTCAGAATGTAATGAAATTATTAAACTCCGTTTCGTATTTTTGACATGCATAAAAATCATACAGATACACCTCTACGAAAATTGATAAAATTCGTCCGAATCTGGAAAGAAGCATTTAGTTTGAAAGCAGTTAAATGGTTAAAAGCATAAGCTTCATATAAATATACATAGTTAAAATATTTAGGGTCTAGTAAAAAGAATTACATTAGTATTGCTAGAGTTCTCAGGTGAATAGTTTATCATATGATCTAAGGCATAAAAGTGCTAAAAGCAAGGTTAAATGTAGGCAACTTGAAGTTCCGGTGAGCACCGTCTTCCCAGTGACACAAATAATGCTTCACCATGAGAAACCCGAAGGTTTAACTGGCAGTAGACAATCATATACCGCAGCCCTTTTTAGTTGCAAATATGGACTGAAGGATACACAATGACCATTTTGAACCAGAAACAACTAGTCAGTTAAACCATTATTTTAAAGCAGTTTACAGAAACCACTACAAAAATTTATATGACATGTGATCACATTTCATGCATCAAGATCAGTAGATTTTCTTTCAAACTAAAATTCCGTAACTATTGATTTTCTAATGACAATATTTAGAATTTTAAGCCGATCAAAAATTGACCATATGCACAATATACATTCATAGATGAATTATTCGTTCAGATTAATTAACCAATGAATTATCTAAGCCAATTTTACATCAGTTACAGTAAAATATTAGCGCTCGAATAATGAAGGAAAAATTTTATGATGTTGCCCCTTGAGGGTTACTCGTTAATATTATGGCATCTCCATTTTAGCCATCAACTTAAAAAGCAGATATCATGCTAAACTGCTCACGTTAAGTTTTTTCTGGTAACAGTGAATTCTTGAGGTCTCGAAAACACAAATTTCAAATTAAGATTTCGCCCCAGTCATGAAACAATAAATATAATCATTTCGAAATAGATAAATGTAAGTGTTATGGCCATAATTGTTCAAACAATGGAAACTGATGGCTAGGTTATTTGATTAATATCTCAAAATTCATACACGACTTATCTCCGCCTAAATCTTTAGAATCTTAGAGTGACATATATCGATTCTTTCATCTTCTTTTCATTTTTTGCTATGGCGTTTAACGACAGCTTGAATTGTTGTAACTACAGTGTTTTTCCAGACGTAGATTTGTAACTTGATGTGCAGAACTGAAAAGCGGTGGTTTTACCTGAAGTGCATTCATGCAACGTAACTTCTTATTCATCTACTGGATGAAATATATTGAAGTATTCTCCGTCAGCTTTCTAGACTCACAGAAAAGAAATGGAAAATACTTCATACTAGAATCAACTTAGTGCATTAAGAATAATATGAAAATATTTGAGAATAGGCTGATTACTAGGGATAAAGCCATGTGATCCTAGCAATAAAATATTCATGCCCAATATTACCCATGTGAGAGAATAAACAATCAGAAGATAATGGTCAGTGCAAATACTCAAGCTTTAGAAGATATCAAGGAGTGAATATATCTGCACGATTGTTGCCAATTTTCAGCCATGTCATCAACAGACCTCAACCACTGGCTCCTTTCTTTTTGGAGACTCCAACCAGGCAGTCTACGTCTACACACACGTCTCAGACCAACAGTCTCAGACTTCATCGACTGATAACACGTCTTGGTCTAAACTAAACGATCTTAACCTAGCATGGCACGCAGAGGTAGGCGGTATCTCGACATGCGCAACACATGTCCAAGCCACTTCATTCGACTAAGGTTTCCAACCTCATCAGAAAAATTGCCTGTCTTGCCCAGTAATCTTCGCTTGCTCTCAAATTTGCTAACACAGCAACTTCAATAAATGCGAACAATGCTGCGAAGAAACTTTGATCAAAACCCTGCAACCACTTCATGTCTTCTACTTTTAACGGACATGTCTCACAGTTACATAATTGGATGAAACGGACTGCAGTGAAGCATACTCGTCCTTTGGTAGAAAGTCGGTTATCTCTCCAGTCTGCACCACAGGTGATCCAAGTTGGTAAATGCCAAACGGGCCTTCTGGGATTTCGTCAGTAACCAACCACTCTGCTCTCCATCATTAAACTGGGAGTGGTTCCAGAGCTGTTCTGGAGCACTATCCTACATTTGAAAGACGTGAAATGCATGCCAGCCAAACATACTCAGATTTCTGCTGAACGCATTCACAAGACTCTGCTTTTTATCAGTGTCTTCACCTAGGGGGACAATTTCGTCTGCATATTTCAAGTCAACCAGATGACCTTCAGGAAGTAGGTTAATCTACATGAAGCCAGACTTACATAGAGTTATATCCATTAGTTCGTATATGAGGAAGTTAACTAGGAACGGTGATAGTGGACATCCCTGGCGGACACCATTGGTTGTCGTCAGTTGACATGGCGACTCTCCATAGGCCTTTACACGACTGCGTCAGTTCAAGTAGAGAGCATTGATTAGCGTTGTATACTCGCTCGGCACTTCCTTTACAGCAAGACGCTCCCACAACACCTCACGGTCGACAGAGTTAAATGTCTCCTTCAGGTCAAGAAATAGGCAAGTGCTGGTCATCGGTAGGTGTTCCTGTGTTTCAGAACCTATCATAGGGAAAAAATACTATCGATGCACTTAGTTTTTTTGAGCTTCACTTAGGCATCGGATAACTATGGATCCTAGAATCCTGGACACGATATTAGTCAAAATAACTCGCCTGTCGTTGTCACAAGAAGATTCCTGTCTCTTCTCACAGACTGGGACGATCAATGAAGAACACCAGTCTGACGGGACTACCTCTTATTCCTTTACACTACCTAGTACCTCGATCACTCGAAGCATCTATTTCCTACCTCCATCCATGAAAACTTCAGGTGGCAAACCGTGCAGTTCTGCTATTTTACATCGTTTCAGATTCGATACAATCCTTACTCCAAGGAGAGTTTAAGCGCCCACATCTATCTTTCAGGTTCAAATTAAATGTTTGGCAACTGAGGCGTTGATAAGGATCAGTTGAACTGTGCTTCAAAGTGTTCTTCCCAATGTTTTAGCCACCTGTCCTGTAAGGTTATCAGCGCCCCATCCTTTTAGGTGATAGTTTTGCTAACCATCTTTTTCTTCTTGCCAGTATCCTTAACAAGTCTAAATAGTTGTCAAGTGTTGCCCCACGCTGATGCTTTCTCCGTCTTTCTCACTTTCACCACTGCTAGCAAACGACACAAAGACTCTCGATCGATTTGTTTCTAGGTTGGTTTTGCTCTTCATCACGGTCAGAGCAAGCTGGAATCGGTCTGCTAGCATCAGTCAGTTCTGATTACGTCGCAGAAGTCTACTGACGCTTGGTAATCTTCGGGTGTAGGTTGCCAACTGTCTTTACCTCTGTCTCTTCAGTAGACGTAATATCAAGCCAGGTTCCCAAAGAATGAGAATTTCTGTTACGTTCAGATAAATGCTTGACTAACTACTCTCCAGATACGTACTTGTCGTCTCCATCTACCAGTCGAGCAAAGATAGGCCTCACTGCTTCCATTTTCCTATGATCAGTAAGGCGCAAACGTACAGGACCCCTTACTAGCGCGTGATTGGATTCCAGAAACAGTGGCAATCCTCCACCGGTGACCTTCAACAGCGGCTTATAGCAGTGTGATCTGTCTGTGTCCATCGTTGGTGTAAAGTCGGTGGATGCGATGTAAGAGAGTGTTTCTACTTATGCCTAAAGTTAGTGTTGGCTAGAAATAAATGACTGTTAGAGCAAAGTTGCAACAGACAACCACCGTCGTCGGTTCATTGGCATGTGATTTCTTAAAGCTGTGATATAGCACCAGTGTATGGGATCGCTGACTGCTGATTCGAGACGTGTAGGGAGATGTATGCTGCCTGGTTGGAGTACTGGAGACGATGGGAATCAGTGATTGAGGACTGTTGATGAAATGGCTGAAAATTGGCAACAATCGTGCAGATATATTCACTCCTTGACATCTTCTAAAGATTGAATATTCCCACTGACCATTATCTTTGTCTGCTTTGATATCTCTCTTTTTTTTATCCCTCTATCTTTTTAAGCTACTGTGAGGTGTAGCAACTTGAGCCGATGCACTTCTGTTCGCGGTTCTAAGTCTAACATAAATGTAATGTCTAAATCAATGAACCAAGTTTTTATGCGGTATTTGTTTTCATTTTACAGATTTGGTTATGTCTGTTTCAAATTCTCTTGGCAAATAATTCATCTCTAAAATATGATTGTTCCATTGGTCATCGAAGAGCAGCTCTCATGAAACTACGTCCTTTTCTTACTGAAACAAAGCTGGATGTCTTACCTGTTTTGATTGACCTACGACGATTTCTGGAGCATTTAAGTCTGAGTGAATCTTGTGGGGGCACGGCAGACAAAACCAATATGTGTCTTGTTGAACTTGTCCCAGAAATCCATGAATCCCTAGTTAACAAGTAAGTTGACTAATTTAAGACAGAGAGATTAAAAGTATACGTTTTTGTATTTCACTAGTCAGTTTTTAAACTAGACACTAAGCACACACTGCTAACTACTTCGATTAGTGTGTCTTCATGAAACATCATGAGGCACTTCATTTGACTTCAGTTTATACCCATGCTCTATGAGTAAACTTCCATGACTATCAAAATGCTTCCGGGAAATAATCAATGAAAAGGTAGCTCATTTGTAAATACCTGCCGATCTGAAAAGACTTCGAATACTGTTGAGAAAATATTTGAAAAAATGTTTACACTTAGTTGACAACTACAGCTACCCTACAATGTGAATGAGTCAAGTACACACGTATTTGTTAGCTGGTTAAATACTCATGTCAAGATTTTTGTTTATTTCCAAGTTGGAATTCTTTCTGTACCAGAATGCTCCGTTGTGATTTTTGTTGAACTTTTAATAAATGCTTACTTCACTTTTCACCATCTGGCATTTGGTTTCTCGTATTGCTAAGTGACTCACGTCAGTTGGTGATAAAACTGGTTGTGGTTATGAACCCCGAAAAAAGGTTGAACAGTTGACGGAGCGATAGATAAAGTTGACGGAGAAGCCTATTCTGCTGAAGAAGCTGTGGCATACTCCGCGAAACGTCCACGAAAATGTTGTACTCGTTTTTAAATACACTGAGATCATATAAAATCTTATTGATGTAATCATTGTATTAGATTCTAATATGCAGCCTGCAATCATCTAAATTCTCAGACATCCGAAAACGACTGCCTAACCGGCTAAAAGAAGTTTATAAGTTGGTCTTAAGTGATATTGCTAATGAACACTGGCGGATATTCAACTTACAGAGAAGTACGAATCCAGTTCCGTAAACAAGTCAAAGGGAATCTTACGTGGATGCTTCATATCTAGTTATGAAGCACTCGGTAATCTCCAGCTTTATCCAAACTACTTCCAATACTACGCTTGCTGATCGCCGGCATCGTAGTTAGTTTCATTGAAATGCTTTGAAGAAAGTTCCTTCATAACCATATGGGAATTATGGCGCGTGGCAATACATGAGACGTTGTCCCTACAACCAACAAAGTTGCCGAAAGTGTAGTGAAATTGGTCAAAAAGATGGACACTGTCAGACAAATCGGCCAGCCAGACATACATCTAGATCCCGAACAAAATCCACTGCAAAAGTCAGTCCCAAACCAGTGTGTGTGTTTATTGACTGCCTCGTGTTATAACTTTAGGTTAGCTCAAGTATCTTCACCTACAGATAAGTGGTTGTGCAGTAGGTTTACGGTTAGATACTGCAACTGACATCACTACTATTACAGAAACGTTTGGGAATGGCATCGACACGCCTGATTTTAGAGGAACTTCTAAAATTTCCATAGGCATCTGCAACGACTACCCTAGTCTACCTGGCCAACTTCGCTGTTACATGTCTTTCGATGGTATTAGGTTCATGAGTATTGGCTACGTCATCCAAAGTGGCTTAAATAATACGGGTTGGATTGGTTTGATTGCCTTCAGTTGACTGAAGCACCATTAAGAACGGTTTTCAATATCATAAAGCGTTCTCAGAATACAGAAAACCGTTTCATTGACGTATGCAAAACATTTTCGGGTCTTTTTCGACCTGTTCCTTTGCAATGAAGAAAGCTGTTGTTCGTCTGTTACCCTATACTGAGCCAGTGCTTCACTCAGAGAGACCGGCTCCATATACATTCAAACTAATGGTTGACGAAGAACTACAGAGGCTATAGTAATGAGGTGTGCTGACACCTATTTAACTTGTACAGTCCCTTTTAATAGAGTTTAGAGATAATAATGTTAAACCTTTGCCAGCAACCAATGCTGAAATTCCAGATGCTGAGTTAGGTAATTTTACCTTATGATGCACTATCCATCAAATTTCTAAGAACTAGTCAAATGCCCGTTTCAAAGGAAACTCGTGCAATCTACATGTACGGCGGGATTCCCTTCATGTCGTGGAGGCTTGCTTGGTGCTTGGCGAACGCATCATAGTATCTAAATCTTTTCGAACCAAAGTTTATAAGAGGCTTCACTCTGGGAGTCCAGGTATTCAGCGTATGAGGTCTGTCACCGCAGTTTTAAATACTGGATTAAGATGAATGACAATGCAACCATTTTCGTTTACCAGTGCCAGTAAGCGGCGAATCATCCTCTTCAGCTACCTTATGTACTATGGTCTCAACGAGAAAGTTCCCGGTATCGCATTCAGATTTTGTTTACTGGTCCCATGAGAGGTGGTGTACGTCGTTTTATTGAATGTCGTTTCGAAGTTCCCAGAGATCATGCTAGTGGTCCCACCAACAGCTTCTAAAACATAACAGATATTGGCAGATAAATTTTCTCTTCATAGCGTGCCTGAAACCATAATCACAGTCAGTGGTTCAAAATTCAAGTCTCATTAGTTTCAGGTATTTTGCTGTAGTATCGCTGTTACTCAGCTTTACTAAGCCTAATATCATGCGCAATCAAATGACCAAGCGGGAGTCCACAATGAAGTCATGAAGAGGAAGTTACTTAAAGTAGATGGAGAATAAATACAGGTGGACGCCATGCGAAAGGTTTTGCTTGTCTATTGAATAACTTGACATAAACAGTCACTGTTTGTTTTTATGTGATGTAAGCTAAAGAATACTGACGACACCTTGTTACCATAAGAAACTAAGTTTCCGGAAAAAAAGTCGAACCGCCTTCGCAGTAGGTACACCCGTTTACATGCGTGCTTGTAGATTGATACACCAAGCTATTGCGACTCCAAGACGTCAAATTATGTGCAAGGCTACCATAACTAGCTGTGGAAGGGAAAACCAGCTGTTACCAACATACCAAGGTTTAGCCAAATAGACTCACTTTAGATCAAAGATGACCAGAGATAATACTGAAAATTCTAGGTGTTACTCCACAAATTGAAGCCGATTTGTATCGAAGAAGACAAAGCCAAAAACGTCTTCGTTCCAAATAAATCCGGAAAAGGTGCGCTGTAAACTAAATTCTTTAAAGGTGCTAAGTATAGACTCTGAAGTAGTTTTTATGACTGACTTCAAAAGCTATCCCAACAATTTCTGAGGTGACCAATTACACTTCTTCATTCTATAAAAATACTACCTTTCAAATGAAACGAAAGAACTCATTTAATGATTTCAGTCTTTGCCGAGTTTGTCCTTAGAGTCATAAATTTTTGTAGGATTTTTAATCCACTTATGTCAACTGTATGAGACATTTTCAGTGGGTTGCTAACTTTTCCAGAAATGTTTTTTATCAGCCTCAATCAATTCCCATGAACTATAGAAAGATATATAAATGCGAGGACTGTAAGCTAGTTTTGAAACTATGATTAAATTCTTGAACTATCCCGTCCAGTGAACTTTCTTTCCACTAGCCCGGGCCAGGTAGAGTTGAATCAAAAGTGCTCCACCGTTTATTAGCTGGCAATCAGTTTCGAGTACTATCAAGAGACGCGTTAGATCTTGGAGTTACTGATCATACGTGATTCCCATCAAATATTTACAACAGTAAATTACAACCCAGCTTTCTTACCATAATTCAAGCTTCATTCTTAGCATAACAACATATGTAATTGGTTTAGGTTAGTGAATATATTGACTTTCACAAACACGTCAAATGATCTTCTTTGGTATGCAAATGCCTATAACATGTTCTTCGTTAAAAAAAAGCAATGTCTACAGATTTGAAAGCTATATTATTGAGTATAATCATGCAACTAAGCAACCACGTAAGCTTCTGTGCATTGAACCTTCAGGGATATTTGTTAAGCCACGGGCAAGGATTACAACCTGACCGGTAAACTCATGAGGTACGAAATGAAGGTTGCATGTTAAAATTGATGAACCAAAACTAGTTCTCAAGAACAGTATCTGCAACTAGGGGCACTGAATTTCCCTCATGAAATTCAAACCAGAACCACTCAGTGTTATGGTCAGCGAATTTACCACTAAGCTATTCGGGATGCCATCAATATCCTGTAGGACTGGATTAAATACATTTATTGGTCGCTCGAGAGTAAACAACTTCATGCTGTCTAGCCCGAATTGCACCGCGAATGTGAGCCTCCTAGCTTAGTGGTCACACTGTAAATTGATCAAATGTATTTGGTCAGCACTCAGGACTAGAGAGCACGAAATTGTTTGCTCTCCAGTGATCAACCAATGGATATTGCTGTCATTTATCGCTGGAGATGGTGGGTGGAAGACTGTAGCTTCTTTTGGAGGACTTATTTGAACAGCGACGCTTTGTTTCGACTATGTGTATATCTGCGCCTTATTGGACGTCGGGAAAATGAAAAAGGTAAACCATAACGAATGCTCCTCAATGACTAGAACACTAGGGTTCCTTTCACCAAAGAACTGGTCGGACAATTATCAGTATCAGTAAAGAGCAACACCACTCATCCAGGAAAAAAAGGGCGTCATCTGCAGAAACAGCGTTGAAGAAAGTGGTTGCAAAGAGTCAGTGGGTCTCAACAGCACCTTACAAGCTAATCGACATATGCAAACGCATCCTTGCTGGTTCTGAGCACAATGAGGAACGGAACTAACTGAAATGTAGACTGATGATACGTCTTCGCAGTGACTATGAGGAGTGGTGGATAGTGAAAGTAGATGAAAAAGGCAGCGGCGTTGGGTAATAAGCAGACAACAATTGAGACTGACCAAGGAGACTGGGGCGAAAATTCCACTGATTAGCGAGACTTTAGCGGAGAACTATGGGTTCGCGATTCACTCGCATGAAAGTTGACTGAAATGATGTATCACATACTTCGACAAATAGATCAACTCGCCTCCAGCTATTCTGTTGCATGTTATCCTACCTACCCAGAATGGAACATCGAGACAAGGTCTCCAACACTTGCAGAAGTCAAGAAAACTGAAAAAGGAAGAGCAGAAGTGACGGATGGCTCACAGCCGGAGGTATTTAATAAGAGTGGGAATGGATCATTGATCAAACTAAGTGTTTACTGGCGCTTGGGAGTGACATATGATAGTCTCCAGGTGATCTCAATCAATGGTTGTCTCAGTCAACAAATGTGAGTATTCCTCTTGCAGTAACCATAGAGAGGTCAACCTGTTGAACAGAGTAGCTCTATTCTAGGTTCTATAGTTATCAGACTTTTGAGTGAAGCTCGAAGACAACAAAGACGGGAAAACTAGACAGGTTTCCTGAGTGTTCGTTGGTTTATCGACTAAACATTCATCCTCCGCGATGCTCTGAATCATAGGCACACTTGTCGACACACTCACTACACTGGATCATTTCTCGACATGAATGACACTTGACTTCGTCGGTCAAGAGGTCTTATGGTAGTGTCTCTCGCTGCAAGGAATGGTAGATGATCATATCACCCTACTGATGGCTCTGTACTTAAACACATGTGAGCGTGTCAGAGTCTGTGGTGAGTTGTGTACGTCGAGTGATGTCCGTTAAGAATGTCCAACCACTCCATTCCTGTTCATCTTTATCAAACACTCTTATGGAGGTCTGAATCTGATTGTACAACTCCACATGGATTGAACTTAGTACTGGAGAATCCTCGGTGAATCTAGAATACACAGATGACATATTCCCGCTTGATGAAGACGTTGGCAAGATAGACAGTCTTCTGGACACCTTGAGAATATTTGGAATGTTTCTCGCCACATAAATGCTAATTGCTACTCCAGGACTGGTCTTCAATGGCCACTTGTCTAACAGTAAGGAGTTAAAGGGTTGCGCACACTGACCACTTCACTCACCTGAGAAGTTCGATTAGCCCTGATGAGTCAGTGGCCGACGAAATCTATGGACGCATATAAGAGGCTCGAGTGGCTTTTCCCCACTTACGACATCTGTGGCACCGCAGTGATACCCGATACTGTACTGCTGCTGTGAACCTTCATCGACTGAGTCATGTGTTAATCACTGTATGCCTAGTCTCACAATAGTACCAGAAGTAGTTTCAGACTAAACCATGGTATCAGTCACTGAAGCTTTTGAATGCTGGTCTGGGCGATGTTAAAAAAATAAACTTTCCGATTTGGGTAAGCATGACAACAGAAACCAGTGGCTGGAGACTCTAGGTGATATGCCTCAGAATAGATGTAAATTGTGCAAATGTATCCACAAATTATCCTCATCTTGATCGTCATACTGAATTTCAATATTCTGTTGGTCTTCGCTCCTATTTCACTCCCTTCTTTATTTTTTATAATTCACGTTAGGGCTTTCTATCTTGCTGTGCTGTGGTAAAATGAGGTTTGAAAACTTGGACTACTAAGCAGTAGTGCCAGTTCATCTGTTGATTGTCTATCTTAACATCCAATAAGTCAGAAAAGCTATCTTAAGTAGTGAAAAATAAACGATGTGTTATTGTTCAATAACTATCCCGAGAGATTTTACAGATACGAAAAATAAGTAACAGGAAAACTGGTAGTAACACAACAATTACAAAAAGGGTAAAGAATGAAACCATGGGAAAGGATTTTGAAAACCCACAGTTCTACCATGTAGAGAAGGAGCATCACAAGCCATATGTAAGAATCTGAGATTGGGGTAGCGTTTAAACCTAGAAAATTGCTTGAAGACACACTTCTTAGGCTAAAGGATCCTATCGAACCTATTCAACAAAACTATTTAATCTACAAAACTTAATGTAATTACCATAAGGTTCAATACATAGGTGAAACCAGCCGGGTCAATTGGGTAAGCAAAGGATAGAAACCTAGCTTAACATAGGATGGTAAGCTTTCACCAGTTAAGAAATCTGTAAAATAGTTCAGCCATAGATTTACATGCCGTCACATACAACCACGCAATAGGATGTGACAGGATGATAATACTAAAAACATAACTTGGGTAGACGGAGCGATATGTCTAATGTCGCACAAACTCGAAGATCTACAGGCGAAAAATAACAAGTTGGCAGAAGAGGTGAGGCGGCGAAGATGGCACTTCCTTCAGATGAACGTAGAGAAGACACGGGTGATGAAGATACCCAACAACAAACACCAATCACCATCAACGGGAGAAATCTAAAGGAAGTTGTCTCTTCCACCTAAGCAGAATCGTTTTAACTACGGGCGGCGGCACAGATGAGGACGCCAAAGCCAGGACCGGAAAGGCAGTAAGACATTAGTGTGGAAATCTATTGCGCTCAGCATAAAGCGCAATACTTATGTCAAGTCAGTGCTTCTCTGATGGCTGAGAGACTTGGCGCATTACGAAAGACGTTTCCAGCAAACTACAGACATACATCAACAACTGTTGCGTGCGCTCAATCGATACTGAAGATCAGATGAGATGGCTAGAATAATAAGCAACAAGGAATTTCGGCTGGCAACGAACCAACCAAGAACCCACCGCCCAACAAATATGCAGAAGAAAGTGGAGGTGGACTGGATTGGACATACACTGAGAAGACTATTTGGGTACATCACGTACCAGGCCAGGCCCCCGAGTGGAACCCGAAAGGGAAACGACGAGTTAGGTGTCCAAGGGTGAGGTGGAAGAGATGGTGTGAGGAAGAAATGAAAGCTTCTGGGGAGTCGTAGAGCCAGGTTCAAAAGACTGGAGAGAAGAGAGTGAAATGGTGATGTCCTACTGAAGCCGTATGCTCCATTAGGAACCTAAGAGATAAATAATAATAGACGAAGAGATTGATAAATGAACGTTTTATTCATCCAGTCGACACCCGACACATGTAATAGATATGACCCAATACCCATTTCAGATATATCGAAGATTTTACTGCCAATTAAATCGAATAAAAAGCAGTAGAATAGTAAAAACCAAACCAGAATGTAGTGATTGCCTTAATATGATTACGGACAATAAGCTCTGCTGGAACCGTCATCAGTTATTAGCACTGTGTGATACACATAAAAACGAATCATAATATAGCTACAATCCGCCCGAATTCTGTTCTTATTTTAATGTTCCAAAATAAAACTAAATATCTGTCCAGTGCTTCGTGGTTTCCATTGTTTCTTTAGTTGATGCATGTCACTGATATAGATTATCTTAATATCAAATAATTCCTTCAGAACCACTCATAAAACCATTCATAGTTATTATGACTTGTTAGCTTCGTAAATGGTTCATAATTACAAATGAAACATTCATATATTCGATTTTTGTTGAATCTTCCATTTTAGTCTCATCTATTAAATTTACTACTGGATAATCTAGAAAATTACTGATTACATTTCAGATAAAAATGATGCTTGTAGTTTCCTATTGTTACAGTGGATCGAATCGATCGACATCTGTTGGCACATAGGCTAAAATGTGGATGCCTCGATGTTGTTTGATTATTCATTACACTATGCGCGTCCTGGATTCCGCTATTGGCCACCTCTAAGTAAATTATAGCATGACACGGTGACGGCAGCCAACTCTGGAGAAGTGTAGATGAAAGAAATGCACTCACCAACCTTGTGCACTTCCGTGAAACACACAATGAGCTACACCTATTGTGTGAGGGCTAATGATACTACGTGGTTGCCCAAACCTCGTTAGGTGGAGCGGGGATCGGACCTGTGACCAACTGGTTGGAAGTCATCTGATCTCCCTAAACCGGTGAGCCACAGCTTCATTGGAGAATTGTCCTAGAAAGCTGTCTACCAACTTGTCATGGTTTCTCAGTTCGTTGATTACTTAAAACTTAACAAACAACCGAAGATAAACTCCAGATATTCGGTGTACGTAAACTTTTGATAGATATTTTTGTTATTAACTACTTCAACTTTCTGACGCTTCAGAGAAAATGTTGAAACCCTAATGAATTAATATTAAATCGCACGAAGCTTTGACACATTACCTGAATACCATTACTATTTGCGAAACCAATTTAATGCTCAAATGCATAGTTCTTATTATGGAACAACTTGAATCGATTCAAGCTTTTGATGGTACAAAAATGTACTCTTACTAACACATTGCTGAAGTGCACCATTTAGAATATTTAGATGATACTAGCCATTATTTTAATTTTCACTAAATTATCTCTTTAGATACAAAAATAAATGGAAGAAGCTTACTGTATTGTTTATAGAACAAACGGAATCTAGTCGAGGAAAAGAAGCGGCAAAAAAAGCTGCAGTCCAATGGACTGATGCATTCTCCGAAGAACATCTCAGTCAACTGTTTTCTACCTCACTAAGTGATTCAGGTGATAATCCTTTATACCCAGCACCAAGATGTCCAACATGCGGAGAAGTTGCTTCGAAAAGATGTTCCAGATGCCGTCAGGAATGGTACTGTGGGCGAGAATGCCAGGTAGAACATTGGCCAAGACATAAGAAGGCTTGTGACTTATTGGCGGAAGTAATAACTTCTGACAAAGACACGCAGTAGACCTGTACTTCAAATGTAAGTGTTACTACTAACTGCCGTTATAATAAAATTGTAAGCAACGTTGTTTGAAGATTTATCGTTTGAGCATCAGCAATCTGAGAAGAAAAAGAAAAGATGAATCCAAATATCAAGGCTTCTTTTTGCATACGATTAAGCACATCTCCATTACGTTTTATGATCAATATAGTGAGTTATTTGCTTGATATCCTTTAAATTTCCGCTAGACAGATTGGATTGTCTTGCGTCTACAAGCTCCCAATATGCGAAACAGAAACATTAAGTCCATGTAAGACACCCATGTATGGAGTAGAAGGGCATTTCATTGCTTTTACAGATACCCAGCCCTATAGTTTTACCATCATAAATTTGATGATAAGCCTCTAGCAGGCATTCCTTTAAAAATCATAAAAGCACAGAGTTCAGATGCTGTTAAGGAAACACAAACGCTAAGACGTCTGTGAAAGCAGCAAGTTTACAGTCATACTGTTATTGTCATACAGTTACAAATATTGGCCAGTTATCTTCCCTAGGGGTTTATATGATTTTGTAGCACTTAAACTGAAAGAAACATGCAGTGGATTCAAATAGGAAATCACTTTAATTTTTTGTATGCGTTACTCTGTGCATACGAAATGTCATGCTGTTTTTGTATTATAACTATACACTTTCGCTGCATTGGAGTCCAAATTGATTAATTCAATAATGCTTCCCAAACATGCACACTATGTTAGAAAACATACTTAATTTACGAAGAGATGAGACAATAATCAGTCACAAAGGCCCTTGTGGGTGGAGTAGGATTAAACGTACTAAATACTGATACTTTTAGACAAATGACTGAAGAGCTGTTGAAACAGTTACGTAATGTCCGGGTGACGAAAATAAAATTAGGTATTATAAATATATTTGGACACTTTTGTTGACATTAAGTTCAAAAAATACCGACCATAAAAGGTTTACAAATAGCTAAATGAGACCGTTAATTTCACAGCGTGAAGAAGTTAAAAGCAGTGTGAACAGATAATAAGTTAGATGAATATATATAAAAAACACAAATGAATTTTAAGAAAACTAAATGACTGAACATGATCGCTGGGTCTTATAAGGATTATCTCTTGGTGACAGAGTAAGGGATCATTTTGAGCGTTAGTGAAGCAGTGGTTACGTATATCCCAAATGGTCTTGCTAAGTGCAACACGATTAATTTCCAAACTGTGCTTCAAACAAGCTATATCTAGCTTTTTCTGCTCGATTTCAGCTTGTCGTGGGTTGCTATGGTCACCGTCACCAGGATTATCAAAAGAATTCATATTTCTGTAAGGGAGATAGATATGTCAGAAAAGTGTATGACCATGTACAAACTTGATCATAAAATGGTAACAATGAATATCATACAACACTGAAAATAATAACTCATTTTTTGAAAGTCACCAGGAAGATATTATCGAGGTCTCACTAAAATCAAGTATAACCTTTTAGAAAAGGACAGAGCAAACACTTAGCACACTCATTTTCACTTGATAAATCGTACTTAATAACTAGTGACTGTTCGTATTGGAATGTTGAAAAAGTGTGAATATACATTATCTTTAGTGCAGGGTAATGCAAGGGTCAGAACTTACTAGATATCAAACTATAGCACTTACTTGAAAACTTGGTGCTGCCTTCCCTTTGCCAGAAGCAAGGCTTAGAAAAATCAACCCAAAAAACATGCGCATCCATGAGTGGGGCATTTTGAGGCTAATGATGAGTTTTCAGCCAAATACTGAGCAAACGCGATCCAAAAACCTTTAAAATACCTGCCTGGCTGCCCAAACCTCGGTAGGTGGAGCGGGGTTCGGACCTGTGAAGGTCATCCCCCTAAACCAATGAATTTAAACCAAATAATTTTAAAATCATGACCAATGGAAGTGTTCGAGCTTTGGAAAACATGGAAGAGGTAACACTGATATTATAACTGGTTTTCAGCAATTCTACCAACAATCAGAGACTCCTTCATCTAATGTCATGTCTTGGTCTGGTGACATTGAGACTTCCAAACCAAAACCAACTTCATGTAATATTGCATAGTGAGGTACTTGATGGTTCGGCATGCGTGGCACATAACAAACTCGCTTTAGTCAGTGAAGCCCCAAAACCTCATCATCTGACTCGGTTGCCTTGCTTAGTACTGTTTTTTTAACCTCGACATTTCTCACACGGTGATCCCACGATGCGCAAGCAATAGTAAGAAAACTCTTGCGTTCTGATGTATGAATTTTCTTCATATTTACATTTCAACCGTCCAATCGATAGCTACTACCTTGACGTGGTGGTTGGATTGCATATCACAATGACCCAGAGAGTTACATTGACTGGAACACCCCCTCCTCCAAGGTCCTACCATGCCAGAAAGATCTGTTGGATAGTGGTAAGACAAAAAGCAGTTTTAGTGTAAATTGCTACAATATGACTGGAGTCTCAGTGCGAAGTTGTACAGCTGCTAGCTGGATGGGAGTGTGACAGGAGTAAGATGTTTCGCTTGGATGTCCAGGAGTTTCACGCTGAAGTTGACTTCTCTATGGGAAGGGAAGGGTTAGAAAGGTTTGGTCCCAAAAATAGCACACTAACCATCATTCAGCCTTATGCCGATGCCTGCGACACGGGTCCACAGTCGGATACAAATGCAACAACTTCAATCTCCAACTGAAAAAGGGCTGTATGTGAACGGCTTGAAGCAGATGTCTCTTGGACCCTGCGGTCACATACTGACCTTTCTTTTTCAGGCACTTTAGGAAGACAGCCTCCCAGGGTGTGGGTAGCCAGGAAGTGTTAGCCCCCTTTACAAGGCATATAGGACTCAAGTCCCCTCAGATCACTATTCACCTTTCAAATCCCTAACTTGTAATCTCCCTTCGCGTCTCTCGATCAATAATCCTACGCTATCTTTAGTTTCTTTCCACCTCTGAAGCTCTCAAGAGTGATCTGAGTTAACAGAACAGCATCCTTGTTCTCCTGAAGCTTTGCTTCATACTACATATTGGAGTTATGAATGTTTGCACCCTTCATCAAATCAGCCAACAAGCTTGACTGAGCAAAATTCTAGCAACTAGCCATGGATGTGTACTATGTTTGTGAGACTCGTATACAGGACTCAATTACGGTTATTCACTTATCCTCACCCGGACCATCTGATGAATCCACGAAATTCACTCTGTAAGTTTCTGGCGATTTGATAGCCAGTTCTAGCAGTCCTGCAGGTGTAGGCGCAACGATGGGAAATTTCACTACTCAAATGGATACCAGTTGACAGTCTCCTATGCACTGTTCGACTGCACGGCAGTAAGAACCAGAACGAATAGTGATACTTACCGTTGTTTCTTTGTGGTCTCTACTTATATGCTCACTGACAGCATTTTCGGATGATGTAAAGGTCCACCGAAAGCTAGCTGCCTAGCCTCCTAGTGAGAGCTAAACGTTTGGACGTGGTTGTCATGGCAGATGATTTCAATGCTCAAGTGGATAGGCTGTCAGGCGGAAAGGAACTTAAGTGGCACTTTCAGAATCTCAGCTGAACGAACAGACAGTGGCGATCGCCTACTGCAACTGTGCCCAGATAACCATTTACTTATAGCCAGCACAAAATTCAAACATAAAGACAGACATTGTCTGACGTAGCGTCCAGCGACCCCAACTCGGTGGTGGATGTAGATATACTACATCGCTGTCAGTTATCGATGGAGACAGTTGTTGGAAGACTACCACTCTTTCTGGAGACGTATTTGAACACAGACCATGCGTTGGTTCGAGCACGTCTTTGTCTGCGTCTAAATGGACAATTGTGTGAGACTAGAAACAATTTGAGGATAATGGTTAGTCCAAATATTCAAGCTTTACGTGTTAAGGAGTGAATGCGTCTGCGCCACTGCTTCCGGTTTACAGCTATGTCACCAAGAGTCCTCAAACATCGATTTCTATCGTCTTGGGGACCCCAAGCAGATAGTTTATATCTCTCAACACTACTCAGACCAAGTCAAAAACTTAATCGACTGATATCACTTCTTCGTTGAGCTACCCTCCTGAAACCTAATCCAGCTTCGCCAGGCATGGCATGTCAAGGTAGGTAGTGGTTCGGGATGCGCAACATATGTCGAAGCCATCTCAGTCGATTAAGGTTCACAACCTCATCAATCGACTTGTATATCTTGCCTAGTACCCTTCGCTTGACCTCAACATTGGTCACATGGTAATTCCACCAAACACAGGTAATGCTGCAAAGGCACCTGTGATCAAAACGTAGTAATTGCCTAATGATTTCTAACTTTACCGGTCATGTCTCACAACCGTGTAACAGAACAGCAGTGCAGTATAGTTGTCCTTTGACTAACGCAGAAGTTAGGTGCAGAACTTTCGAGGGAGAGGTAAGTCAGTCGATAAGGTTGTGAAGCTTCATCGGCTCAGGTGCCTGGATTATGTGTTAGTCATGTCTATTCAGTCTGTTTTGTCGCACAATGTTAGTTGAAGTAACTCCAGACTGGAAAAAGGTGAGCGTGAGGCCAGACGAAAGCGTGGAATCAGTCACTGAAGCTTTTGAATAGTGGTCTGAGCTATGTAGGGGGACGCAGACTAGCCAGTTGAAGTCCACGAGACAACAGAAACCTATGTTTGGAGACTCTAGGTGGTGGTATGGGCTAGAATCGATATCGATTGCGGAGATGTGTCCATACATTATCTTAATCACCATATTGGATTTAGCACTTCTCATTCCTCCTTTCTCTGTTTTACTACTTCTAACGCATCTGACGGTTATTTCTTTCTTCATCCTTAATCTTATTGCTTTGTTACTTCATGTGCTGATATGAAGTGTTCCGCAGCTTTGCCTGATCCTTGATGGACACTACGAGGTACCGAACTCACTATGGGTTCTAACAAGCTCACATGTATCCTAGTAAAGAGCTTTTAACAAGGTGATGTGATTACTCGGCACCTCTTTCATTAGGGTTCTATCATAAGATCTCTCGATCGAATGCCACCTTCACGTTGAGAAATAATCTAGTGTTGGATGACGGCAAATGTGGCTTAGTTACGGAACCTGGTGGAGAATAAATATCTGGTTGGTCACACACACCACCTGCCCGTTTTTAGT